GAACCAGCAGATGGAAGAGTTCTGTCCCTCTCTCTGTCCCTCCCCTTCACCTTCCCTCTCCCTTTCCGTAATACATCCCTTCCAAATCAATACATTTTTGAACAAAATAATAGTCTAAATACAGATTGGGTGACCCCCCAGAAGATCACTTCCTCTTAATAAACAGAAAAGAAAGAGTCAGAAAATCTAAACGATTGGCTCAGGGCTCCACAGCTATCTCCAGGATCTCTTATTTTACCCCATGAGCTGCTGGAAGCTCCTGAGGATAAATGTCTTCCCTAACCTGCCTCTAAACTCTGCTCTTCCTTTTCAGACCCCCCTCCTTTTTAAAATCATATCATCTCCTTCCCGTAGCCTTTATTCCACTTGTTGAAGTGGAAGTTAGTTGCCCTAGTGGTGCTATTGGGAGGGGCACAGCCCCTGGGATGTAGAGCAGCACCACAATTGGGTGGGTTTGGGCTGTTTTCCAGGTGAGGGGTGTGGAGGGAACACCAGACATGTGATGTGGGGACCTAGGAGCTGGGGAGCTCAACTCTGCTAGGCAATCCTGAATGATGTATCTCTTCTCCATTCTGCACCTTGGTTTTTCACTCCTTATCGTGAAAGGCTCAGGCTGACACCGAGATGGCAGCCCAGTTTTCACTCGTCTGATTTTTGGGGCACTGTGCTTGGAAGACTTCTGGGTTACTTTGATCTTGATAAGACAGAAATGGATTTGTGATGTCTGCTGTGGGTAGATGAGGAGGAGGTGGGAGTCTCCAGTTATTTGCCATCCCTTGCAGCCCAACAGAACATCACTCTAGAATGGAGTCTGTGGTCTTACCTATTAAAAATGTTGGTGGCTGTGTGTGTGTTAGGTTTGGGGAGTTCACTGAGCAATGACTTAGAACTACCAGCAAGCACCAGGCTGTACTTTCTGGCCTGCTGCGCTGTCACCCTCCACCCCCCACTGCCGCCTTCTTGCCTTCCCCATCCCTACAGTCTTGTGGCTTTGAGGTGACTTTTCAGTGGCTTCCAAGACTTGGTACTCCTGGCATGCCCTTCCTGGGCTTGTCTGGCTGCCAGAGAAGGTATCAGAGCCCCAATTCTGAGCTGTCCATTACAGCACGTGTTCATGCTTAGCCCTCCTGGCCTAAAAGGACTTGGAGTTCACCCTACCCAGCTCTTTCACTTAACACAGTTGAGGCAACTAAGACCCATAAAGGTTTCTCTGGGATTTGTTCACCTTCTGATCCCACTTTCTGACCCATAACCCTCCCAGGCTGCCCTGCCCAAGGCTCTGGGACCACAGGGTTGGGCCTTGGGACATTGGCTGCAGCAGCACTTTGGGACTGGATCTTCCTGTCCTCGTAGGAGGTATCCTACAGGCTGGGCTCCATCAAGCATTTCCAGCCCTCCAGACACCCAGGGTGTTTGAAAATGAGCAAACAGCACTGGGTGGTACAAAGTCCCGGATGACAAAGCTGTCTGCTTATCAGCTGCATTCATTATTCATGTGGAAACGTGAGCCCCTAGGTTGGCAGCCCTGGGAATTTTGTCCCTTAGCTGTTCAGCCCCTGGGAGTGGAGGCTGTGTGGGAAGCTGTGACCCGAGTGGGCTGTCTGCTATCATGGGATGCTTACCACAGTGGTGGGAAACTGGGCCTTGAGGGGCTTCTGGTGGTAGACACTTTCCTTGTGGCTTTCTCACAGAGTGTGAGCTTCAGGAATGGGCCCTTTGGATAAGCCCTGGGGTAAGGGGCAGGGCTTGCCGAACCCATATGCTGTTCTGTGGAAACAGGAGACCTAGGTCTGAGTCCAAACCTTTGTTGTTCTTCGCTGAGTGGGATGGGCAGGTCTTGGCTCCTCCGAGAGGCAGTTGTCTCATAACTAGATGTCCCACAGAAATGTCGTGAGGAGCCAGCTGGATGTACACTGTAGCAGGTGCACAGTTCCAGACCCTCCCTGTCCAAGGGGCCAGGCAGATACCCACACAAGGCACACGGACTGGCACTCGAATTGGAAACTAAAAGAGAAGAGATTATCACAGGCCGAGATCCAGGGGCACTTTCCATTCGTGGCAAGTCTGATGGGGGCTGGGGAAATAGAATCCGGGACTCTGCACACGGCACAGGCTGAGCAAGAACAGTCCGATGCCTTTGACTCATATCCTCTGTCAGCCCGAATTTGCGAGGCAGGCAGGAGCTTTTCCGACCTGGAGGCCAGGTGACTGCTCCTGGCTGCCTGACTGGTGCCCTCTCCCCTCAGCTTTCCTTTCTCATTGTGTCCTTTGAAATGTTAAGACTCCCTCCTGAGGGCAGAGGGCCAGGCCAGGTGCCCTGAGCCCTGGGAGCTTTCCTGGGAGCAGCACTGGTGGGCTGGGATGCAGCCTGCATGGTCCTGGGCATGGAGTCTGCCAGTGAGGCTGGCTTTCCTCTCTGCAGGCAGCAGAAGACCCTGCTGCAGTACAGATCAACCAGAGGCACCTGTGGCCCATCCCGCTCCAGAGCATTTTTGTAGAGCCCTCTGCCCTCCTCTTCCTGTACTTGTCAGAACTGCCATTGTTTTTCACCATAGAATTAGTTAGTTACTGTCTACTGCACCCTCCCCAGCCTAGAGGCCTTCTGAAGGCAGGACCAAGCTGGCCTGGTAGCCTTGGCATTCAGCATCAGCCTAGGAATTTCATGGGCTTAAGTATTTGTGGACGAGGCTAATGGTATGAAAGCAAAGGAAGTTGGCTCTGTGTTCCAAGAGTTCAAAGAACATTTGAGCCCTTGGTACCAGGCTTTTGGAGGTAATAGAAAACTCTGGTACAAACTGGCATAAGCCATGGAAAATAAGTGAGTTTATAAAACTGAAGAGGGGAGAAAGGGTGGCTCCAAGCACGGCCTCCTGTGCCTTTTGTCAGGGTGCTAAGTTGCCTTGCTCAAAGTATTCTAGAAGAGGATCCTCTCTTGGGAGAGGGCTTTTGGGGGGACAACAGAGAAAAGGAGGGGGAGGAAAAAGACCCTCACCTGCTATGTAAGCATGGAATTCAAATCTGCCCCTTTAAATTTACCTGAGCCAACTTGATTATCTGTCCACCCTTGGACCCCAGGGAACTGCCAAATACAGATGGTTGCCTTAAAACTCATTTGGATGGGTTTCTAAAACAAGGGAGGACCTGGGCAAACCATTGCTGTGCCAGGAAGTGGGGAGGGCCTCTGGATGTACTGGAGGAGGCTCCCAGTATTACCCACACCCTCCAACCCACAGTCTCCATTTCCAGAAATCAACCGTAAAGACATTAGCAGACAATGCCAGTGTGGGAAAATGTTTACTGATGTGTTTATTTAAATCTTTTTTTAAAAAATTGAGAATTCAAATATACAGAGAGAAGGAGAGATAGAGAGGAAAATCTTCACTCCCCAAGTGGCCAGAATGGCCAGAGCTGCACTGATCCAAAGCCAGAAGCTTGGAGCCTCTTCCGGGTCTCCCACATGGGTGCAGGGTCCCAAGGCTTTGGGCTGTCCTTGACTGCTTTCCCAGGCCACAAGCAGGGAGCTGGATGGGAAGTGAAGCCGCCGGGATACAAACTGGTGCTCATATGGGATCCTGGTGCATGCAAGGTGAGGATTTTAGCCACCAGGCTACTGTTTTGGGCCTGATGTGTTTATTTAAGAGAGAGAGGAAAGAAACTCATGACTGAGTCAAGATTTAGCTGTCCTGAAATATTGGAGTCAAGGATGGTACCTCTAGGCAATGAACTCCTAGGGTGCTTGAAATCATTGATGCAAAGCGTTAATGACCCTGGGAAATGCTAATGGCACAGCATTACATGGAACATTCCAGGCTGTACCATTGGTTTTCAGTCCATTTGTTTTTATTTGAATGAAATGATTGTTACTTTGTGTATAGGAGGAAGATTGTGGGAGTGTGTGTTAAAAGGTTCATGTGATGTGGCTGTCTTGGTGGCCCCGGGAAGGGTGGGTGGCTCTCCTGGACTGTCCCCATCCCATTGAAGGACCCCTTCCACAATCTGCTGGAGCCAACTTTGTCTCTCTCTCTTTCTCCTTCCTTCTTTCTGGTTTTCCTTTTTCTTTCTTTTGTTTCTTTCTTTTCTTTTCTCTTTCTTTCTTACATCTATCTTTCTTTCTTTCTTTCTTTCTTTCTTTCTTTCTTTCTTTCTTTCTTTCTTTCTTTCTTTCTTTCTTTCTTTCTTTCTTTCTTTTCTTAAGGTTTGTTTGAAAGGCGGAATGACAGAGTGCATGGGAGAGAGAGGGTTCTTCACCCATTGGTTCACTCCCATGGTCATAACAGCCAGGTCCGGACCAGGTTGAAACTGGAAGTCAGGAACTCCACCCTGGTCTCCCACTTGAGGAACATGGATCCAAGTTCTTGGGCTGCCTTCCACCGCCTTCCTGAAGTACATTGGCAGGGAGCTGAATCAGAAGCCTCAGAGCTTGAGCCGTTGCTCTGACATGAACCATTGTAGGTGTCTTAGTCTGTTGTGGCCCTGCACTGTCCCCTTGCCGTTCTGGTGTCTGGCTATGATGAAAGCACCCCCAGCACTTATTGGATGCTCTACCCAGGTTGTTCTCTGAACTTGTCACACTCTGCCTAATTTGATTAATTTTATTGTTACAACCATTTGAGGAAGAAGTGATTTGAGTTCTCATTTTTTTTCTGAGCTGTTCACTGCCACCCCAGTGTGCCCTGTCCCAAGCACAAAGCTAGCAGGTGGAAGTCCTGGGAACTCACCCCAGACATCTGACTCCACAGAAGCTCTTCTCTGCAAAACCCAGTCACCTGCTTGGCTCTTTCTGCCATGTGTTAACAGGGGTACTCCTACTCATTGAGTGGGACTCTGTGTCACCCTTGACTGAACTGAATTCCTTGCATCTTTTCCACCTCAGAGAAGCTGAGTGACTCACCCAAGGTCATCTGGCCAGGGGCTGCAGCAGAGTTGTCAGTCTGATGTGGGATCCTTTTGTCTCCCTCCCAACCTTCAGGGTTGCCTGAGGCCCTGCCACCCCGGGGACCATGTTCAACGGGGAGCCAGGTCCAGCCTCGGCTGGGACTTCCAGGAACGTGGTGCGGAGTTCCAGCATCAGCGGCGAGATCGGATCCCAGCAGGCTGGGAGCGGACCCGGGACCACCACAGCCAAGAAGAGACGCAGCAGCCTGGGCGCCAAGATGGTGGCCATCGTGGGCCTGACTCAGTGGAGCAAGAGTACCCTTCAGCTTCCCCAGCCTGGTGAGGGTACGGGGCACTGGGGCTTGGGTCTGGGCATACTTGGCCGGGACAGAATCTGCAGGGATTGTCTGGACTTGCACTTGGACTGGGGCAAGCACTAGCTCCCTGAACCCTCTGGGGCTCTGGGAGTCAGATCTGCAATATACAGTAGGAAGTCAGCCTTTATACTGTGCTGCACGCACACTGATGTTCCCAGCAGTGTGCAAGGCCACTCTGCAGTTTCCACATACATAGTTCTTCCTTCTCAAAGTATTCCCTTCTTATAAAGATATATTAATTTATTTGAAAGGTAGAGCTAAAGAGAGAAAGACAGATCTTCCTCCTGCTGATTCACTTCCCAAAAAGTCACAATGGCCAGAGCTGGACCAGGCTAAAGCCAGGAGCCTGCAGTTCAATCCAGGTATAGTGTATGGGTGCAGGAGCCCAAGAACTTGGGCTGTCTTCCACTGCTTGTTCAAGGCACATGAGTAGGAAGTCGAATATGAAGCAGAGCAGCTGAAACTCAAATTGGTGCCCATGCAGGAGGCAGGTGACTGCTTGACCTGCTGTGTCACAACACCATCCTCTAAAAGTTGTCTTACTGGTGATCTTCCAGCCTTCTAAGTACCAGTAGCCATACAGATGCTGTGACCACCCCCCATGGAATGTGCACATTCCAAGGTTACAGTGAGAAAAGTCCCGTAAAGACTCATGGCTTGCACAGGAGCACACATAGAATATTCTAGTACTCATGCTGGCTACTCAACAGTGCCAGGAAAGCACAACTGTTGTGTACACTGCCCACAGTTGCAGGAGAAAGCCAGCCACATTAGCTGCATGAACACAGGTCCCAGAGTGTACACCTAGGTGGGAGACTTGTCACACAAGTGCACACACATGTATTCACACACACCTTCACAGCCGCATCCTAAGAACCACCATGAACCTTCTTAGACACCTAGCAACAGAATCCAAAGGCAGACCAGGACACCCACCCTCCTTGTCGCACAATCACACTGGACCTCACATCACAGAGGATCCTGGTGTCTCCAAGAGCTCCTCAATGCTTCTTTTTTGTTGTTGTTCAAATCTCTGCCCGCATGTTTTGCTCAGAGAAACGACTTCCCCAAGAAGCCTTCAGAGAGGCAGCTGGAGTGGGGTGAGGGACTGGGCACCAGGAGATCCAGGGAGAGTGTGCATCAAGATTTGCACTTGAGGCTTGGAGTGGTAGGATAGTGGGAGATAGTGGGGTCATGGGGTGGTGGCATGGAGGAAGGTGTATTTTTCCTGGTCTTAAATCGATTTTCACAAAACCCTTGACAAGGGCACATGGGATGGTCTTTTCCAACAATCGAACTAGGATGAGGTTTGTAACTCCAGGGAAAAGCTGTAGGTGTCCTTTAGTGCATGCCTGGGTGGGCATGAGCTCTGTGAAGATGTAGATGGGGGTATGGGTGTGGCTCCAGAAGCTGGGCTTGGACATGGAGGGCTGTGAGGAGGGGTCAGGGATAGAGTAGGAGGCTAAGAAGGTATTGGACTACAGGAGTCTAGCTCCAGGAGACCCAGCGGAGAAATCAAAGTGATGCATATTGAGACCCGGAGCCTTTGTGCTCACCTTGCTTCCACAGTCAAGGTCAGGGACTGAGTCCCTGGGAGATGCTGCAGTGACCTGCTGAGACTTCACAGCCAGCACACAGGGTCTGGAGGAGACACCTGAAAGATCTTTTGCCTCGAGAGGGAGATGGGTGATGCCAGGACTCTGGACTGTTTGTGGTCTGAAACGGTGCAGCTACGGGTCTGGGGTCTGGGTAGGGGACTTGGCCAGAGACCTGTGAGTCATCCCGGAGCTGAATGTCCGGGCAGGAAGTGCCCCTTGAGATCCCTGTGCGAGATTCTCAGCTGATCAATATGCCTCCCAAGGCCGGAGAGAAAGCACTTTACCGGAAAATGATCTCACAGCGGCCCCCAGAGCCATGCCATGTGCCCTGGCCTGGCCTCTACTATGGGAGGGGCACTCAGGAGGGTCACCTGGCCCCTCTGAGTCTGCTTCTGTGTCTGTGACATTCATGCCCTGTAGAGCTGCCCAGGGTTGAGTGACAGGTACCACAGGGGCACCCTGCCTCCTGGCCCATGACCGACATTGGTGCTAAGCATCAGTACCATGACTGTTCCCCTTGGTCACGGTCAGGCCTGAAGAGAAGTGAGTTCTCTGGTCTCTGCCTCCTACCCTTTCTCTGCAGTATGCTCCTCCCCTATCTGGAGTTCCTTCCCCTTGGAGGAGCTCCTTTTGGTGTCAGAGGGATGTCTTGTGTCAGAGGGATGTTGCAGGGCTGACTCGCCCCAGGAAACTATTCCCAGGGAAGATTTCAGAAGAGTGCCTCCTGCTGCCCCCAGGCAGGACTGCTCTGTGCCTTGCAGAGCTGCGAAGTATGGACTGGTCTTCTGGCCCCGGCTCGCCCTTGGACAAGGGTCTCTTTTCTCCTGGTCTCCTTGTATCCTCCCTGCCATCTTTCTTTGTTGCAAAGCCTATGTCCCAGGCCAATGCCCACAATCATCCAGCCTGGGCTACTGCACTAGCTTCCTCTCTAATCTCCCTGCTCCATGCCTGCTTCCTTCCTGTATATTCCTTGGGCTGCCCGAAGTGAATGTCCTTGATACTTTTAGAGGCCAAGTTCTGGCTCTGTAACTCCACATAGGAAAAATCAGTGTCCCCCATTAGACCTCAGTTTCAACTTCTGTAAAATGGAGCTAAAAATGTTCTTTCTCAGTTTCCTCACAGATCCAATATTCTCTAAGTTGTGGGGGCATCAGGGAGGGTGAGGTCAGAGGTTGGAGGGTCTCAGGACCCATGTGAATGCTGGTCTGGCATTAAGTGGGGCTCCATCCTTTGCCTAAGTGCAGCTCATCTTTTCAGTACCAGGGAGAGAGGCTGGAGAGAGGGTTCTGGATCATTCCAGAAGATGACTCGGTGACTGCTACCGCAGCCTCTGCCCGTCTGTGAAGGAGCAGACAGAACGGTTTCTGGAGTCTTTCAGTCCCTGGGGACTACTGAATGTCTGCAAGCAGCTTGACCTAGGCTCCCCAAGAGAGAAGCTACATAAATTTATTCCCTGGATCAACAGAGGTTGAGGCTATAAGTATGAAGTCAACAGAGGAATTTTATCCAGGCTTACAAGACCTTTCTCTTTGCCCTAAAGACACAGCAATCTCTGCTGAGTCACATCTCACATAGATGGGGTGTGGGAAGGCACTGAGAAGCAACAGATCTGAGACTGGGAGACTGTAGGCCAGGGGTGCTGCTCCCAACTCTAGGAGTGGTCAGACCTCTGGCAAGCAGAGTGGGTCCTAGCTGAAGGGTCTTTGCTATTTCAGGATGCTATGAGTCCCCAACTCCAGGACTCACTCTGGGTTGGGCAAGTCTTATCTGAGAAATCAGTGTGCTTCCGAGTGGGCCAAAACTTTCCCAAGCTCTAAAAGAATGGAAATATGAGGGGGAGGGAAGGTGACTGGCAGCCCCCACAGATTTATCTGATTTCTAACTGGGTTAGAGCAGAGGTGGCAGTTAGGAGCCAGGGACAGGAAGCACTCCCCACGGCTCCCACTGCTCTGTGTGTGGTGGGTCACACACCATTTGTGACTGAGTGGGTAGATTCAGCTTGGATTGCTACAGTGTGAAGGTCACTTGCATGTGACAGAGTAGATCACATTTGCATGTGACTAAGACCTGGTAGGACCATCGGTGACGATGTAAACATACATGTGACCTTAAACTTGGACTTATTTGTACTTATGGTTGTTGAAACTCAGGTGTCTGCTTATGTCTGTGAAAGAAATATGTGTAAATTAATGTGACTCTATTTAGAAAAATATTTATTTATTTGAAAGGAGGAGTTAGAGAGAGGGGTGAAGAAGAGATAGAATCTTCCATCTGCTGGTTCACTGTCCAAATGGCTGAAACAGACAGAGTTGGGCCAGCCCAAAGCCAGGAATCACACATTTCTTCTGGGACTCTTAAATGGGTGTATGGCCCAAGGACTTGGGCCATTCTTTACTGCTTTCCCTGGTGTATTAGCAGAGATCTGGATCAGAAGTGGAGCAGCCAGGACTGGAAATGGTGCCCATTTGGAATGCTGGCATTAAACTATTATGCCACAATGCCAGCCCTTAATGGGACTCTGTGTGTGTGTGTGTGTGTGTGTGTGTGTGTGTGTGTGTGTGTGTGTGTGTTAGAGACAGAGAGAGAGAGAGAGAGTTTTGTGGACTCCTGGATATGCAAACTACTCTAGTAAGTCAGTGGCTGAGATGATTCTAGAGCAGACCTCTCTTCCTACCCCCACTCATATTCTTCCCCACCTCTCAACATCCTCTCCACTGGCGAGTCCAGCCCTCTCAGCTCCTTTCCCCTGGGGAACTTCCCGAGAGATAAGTAGAGGCATGAGGTTCTCCTTCTCCAGGTGAGGGATTGGATTTTCCCTCCCCTGCTCACCATTGGTCCTGGGTGGGGAGAAGACTGCCAGGGTAACCAGCCCCTTGCCCACTGCTCTCTGGGGCTGTACTGCCTGCCCCACCCCTGGCTGTTCCCCATCCCTGAAAACAACTCCACTCCATTTGCTTGGGTCTCTAACCAGTGCCTACAGTGGCTGCTGTATAAGCACCACCGCCCTCTCCATCTCGTCTGTCCCCCAGCCAAGCTTCAGCAGGGGAAGTCCCTACCCACCCTTACCCTGTATACACCCCCACCCCGCCTCCTCCCAATCAGTCTGGAGGGACTGCATTGCAATGTCGAGGAGATTGCCATGGAAACCAAGGCTGTATGGTGATGCTCTGAGAGGGAAGGGCCCCAGATTCCTGGGAAGGTTGGGGAGGGGGCCTCTGGGCAGGGACACAGGGTGGGATGACTGCATGGCTTCTGGGGTTCAACCCTGATGCTAGCCCTCAAGCTAGCTGACCCTCTCCATAGTCCAGCTTTCCTAATGACATCTCCCCTCAAATAAATCCCACACACCTGCCCTCCACATCCCTCATGTTCAGACCCACCTCAAGAAGCCACGCCTGGGAGTGGTCAGGTGCAAACAGGGCTTACCTAAGAAAGTGTTAGAGATGTGGGCAAGTAAATGGAGGAAGGAAGGTAAATCTGAGAATCATAGAGAAGATAAACTTTCCAGAAGGGAGAGGGTAGAAGAGTTTTTAGGCTGCTGATGAGAGGGAAAGGGAAGGTGGCATCAGGGGAGTCCCAAGAGGAGGACAGTGAGGCTGCAGGGCTGCAGGGCTGGGACTCTGCCTGGCATCTCCCAGCATCCCAGCCTGGTAGCCAGCCACCTGCCTGCGCTGCTCTGTGTGTCTGGCCTGGGAAAGGTAGGGAGGCTGCAGACCAGCTCCCTGCGCCTGCAGCCATGCCAGCGTCCCTCCTGAGACAGTGACGTGGGCAGCAAGTCTGTTCTGTGACCTGACCTTGTTTCCTCTCTGTGTTTGATGTTGGGGTCACAGAAGGGGCCACCAAGAAGCTGCGCAGCAACATCCGCCGAAGCACCGAGACCGGCATCGCCGTGGAGATGCGCAGCCGGGTCACGCGCCAGGGCAGCCGCGAGTCCACGGATGGGAGTACCAACAGCAACAGCTCGGATGGCACGTGCGTGCAGCCGCGCCTTGCCTTGGGCCTGGCCATGGTTGGCAGCTGAGATGTCTGGGGTCCTCTGCATCTCTGTCTGCCCCAGGGCCCAACAGAGCATCCTAGAGAGCGGGAAACAGCCACAGCTTCCTGTGTGCATGCTGCTGGAGGATCCCCTGCCTCCCACCTGCCACCACCCATACACACAGCCCTTTTCTGGGTGGGGAGGGTGGCAGGAGAATGCAACCACCACATCCTTTCAGGTCCAAACCTACTGGCTGAGCATTCAGATACGGAGTTTTTATGAACAGTTTTGCAAGGGGTTAGAGAAGAAGGAGACTGGACTAGATAAAGCGATTTTTTTTGTTTCCAATCTGCATGGCAACTCCCAGGCTGGAAGTAAAGACCGGTAGAGTGGCTGAAAACCAGCAGTAGCAAATGAAGCAGAAAGCTTGGATGTCCCCTGCAAAGGCAGAGTGCGTTACCCCGTGAGCTTTGATCCCAGTTTTTTAAGAGACTGATTTATTTGAAAGGCAGAGTGACATAAGTAGAGATCATGATTTACAGAGAGACCCTCCACATGCAGACCCCTTCCCCAAATGGCTACAATTGCTAGGACCGCGCCTTTGTTCACAACCTCTACACTGTGTGCTGATTCCTAAGAGCCTATGACTGTAAGAGCCCAAGTTTCTTGAATTTTCTCAGATCCCATCTTCTTAGGATTCTGATGTTAGGCAATTGCTGACCATGGCTAGTAAGAGTGGCTGGGACTTGAGGCCCTTTCAGGAGTGGAGAATCTGGTTGGGGAGAGTCCCAGGCTCTCTCTGGGAAGCACACATACCACCTGCTCTTCCCTCCCAGCCTGTTCTTGGCCGAGAGAACCTCTGTGCCCAACTGTCCAACATGCCTGTCAGCCTTTTATCTCCAGCTGGAGCATGCACCATGCTGGGAGACCTTAGAATCTGGCCTGGTCGTGGTAGCCCTGGGCAGATCTAAACTTCACCTCTGTCTGGTGTCCCCCTTCTGCTGACCACACCCAAACCCTCTAGGCTGGAGGATGTGAAAAAGCAGCGTGCTTTTCCTTGCGGAGGGAGACAGCAACAGTGACAACAACTGCCATTTACTGTTGCTGGACTTTCTAGAACATTCCTTGCACCCCTATCCAAACTACACTCCAGAGAACAGGTGTCATCTCTATTTTGCAGTCAGGACTTGAGCCATCCTCCACTGCTTCCCCAGGGGGCTGAATCAGAGGTGGAGTAGCCAGGACATAAATTGGCACCCAAATGGGATGTCAGTGCCACTGGGTGGAGAATTAACTTGTTATGTCATTGCACTAGCCCAGCAAAATAATTTTCTTCTGTGTGTAGGAATGAGTAGTTGTGTCTGTCCCTGACCAGAAGAGTGCATTCAGAACACATAAAGGGAAACTGAGGCACAGGGGTCAGAATTTCTGCATCCCCTACTTTTCCCCCACCCAATCCCTCCTGTTTGGACACCGGCCCTGTCCCATGGTTCCCTGCCTCCTGCAGGTTCATCTTCCCCACCACACGGCTCGGGGCTGAGAGCCAGTTCAGCGATTTCCTGGATGGGTTGGGCCCAGCCCAGATTGTGGGGCGGCAGACGCTTGCGACACCACCCATGGGTGAGTGAGTGTTCAGGGCCAGGGTGGGTGGGGTGGGCCACCCAGCAGAAAAGGTGCTGTGGGCCTCTGGGAGACCCAGGAAGGAGACCTTGCCTGGGCTTTTGTGGCTGGGATGGGGGTGCGGGAACCACAGCAGCAGCCAGGTGAGGGTGCTCATCTGGCTCCTGGGCTGAATTTGGCCAATTCCTACTCTTGCTTTTAGGCTCTTAAGTGCCCAGGGAGGCTGATTCCTTCTCCCAGCCTTAGACTGGAATGGGAGACAGACAGGAGTCAGCAGCCTGCACCAGACTCCTTTGCAGCTTTGAACGTTTGTGTGTGGCGCCCCCTCGTGTCTAAAACTGGGGAGTACAGACTTGAGTCATTTGGTTGCTAGATCCCACTGCCCCAAGGCTGGAGAGGGGGCGGGGAATTTCAGGATGTGGCAAACTCCAACCCTCACAGCACACAGACACAAACTGTATGATGTCTCAGAGACTCGAACATGGGAGGCTGAGCCCCAAGTCTAGCTCTTTTGGCTATGCTGGTGATTCTTGCATACACCGAGGAATGGTCCAAGTGACCCCTGGGTAAATGTGAAACTGGCCCATGCACTTGAATGACCTAGAGATCAGACAGCCAATGTGTTTCCTTGCTTGCACGTCTAGTGTGTAGGGACACACTCTCAGGTGGCCTTTGCTGGCCTTCCTAGGCAAGTTCACTGCCTGGTGCCTGTCACTCTGATATTCTGTCAATATTTGTTCCACATACAATTAGGGGAATGACAGAGACAGTTTAGGGACAGCAGAGCCCATTCCTACCCCTCGGACTCTAATGCGGGAAGCTCTGGTCTGCACCTTCCTTGTTCCCAGCAAGGTAGAGGCTGCCAGTGACCAGTGGTCTGTGAAAGTTGGGCAGCCACTGATGGCAACCTTTGCACATCCTTAAAGGTCATGCCCCCCAGCTCACCCCCCAAGGGACCCTCTGAGTGTTTTTCAGCCATGTGAATGGGGTCTCCTGGGAGTAGTTCTAGCATGTGCAGTTTGCTCTATCTTGTTTCCCTTGGGGGGTTAGGGGGAAGTGGTAGTGTCCTCTGTGGACCAGACCTGCTCCTTAGCCTGGCTCTGCCTGGACCATCCCTTCTCTCCCTTGCAGGAGACGTGCACATTGCCATCACGGACCGGAGTGGCCAGCTGGAGGTGGAGGTGATCGAAGCCCGGGGTCTGACCCCCAAACCAGGCTCCAAATCCCTTCCAGGTGGGACCAAGTACATGGGAGGGAGTGCACTGGAAACGGGTGGGGTACACAGCTGAGTTCTGGGCCTAGCAAGTTCTTATCTCCCCAATGGCTTAAATCAGGCTGCTGAGTAGGGTAGGGCAGGTGAGGATGGAAGATGCAGCATTTGCTCCTCCTATTCCACTCGCTGCCAGGGTCACCTAGAATTTAGGGGATGGGCAAGGCATGATAGCTCCTCCCACACCGCTTCCCAACCTGCTCTCCCTCACCCCACAGCCACCTATATCAAGGCCTACCTGCTTGAGAATGGGGCCTGCTTGGCCAAGAAAAAGACCAAGATGGCCAAGAAGAGCTGTGACCCCCTGTACCAGCAGGCTCTGCTCTTTGATGAAGGACCCCAGGGCAAGGTGCTGCAGGTGAGTGGGACAGGGGAGCAGGCTGACTTAGAATTTACCCTGGGTGAAGTACTAGACCAAAATGCATTAATTCACACTATTGTATTAGTCCAGGTCTCATTCCTATAACAAAATGCTTGAGGCTGGATAACTGTAAGGACAAGAGGTTTACCCCACTCATAGTTCTGTAAGTTCAAGGTGACGGCCTTCTTGCTGGCAGAGTTCCAAGGCAGTATGAAGCATCCATGCTGTGTCCCTCTTATGGTCATTCTTGGTCCTCTTACAAAGCCAACAGGATTCAGCCCTCCTGGGTTCACACTCTTGACCTCATCTAACCCTACTCACCCTTCCCCTACCTCTGCCTCAAAGCCTCACCTTGAACTGACAGTCAATTATATTTCCACCCTTGTAGCACCTTCCACTGAGGGGATCAAGTTTAACACACAAAGCCACAGTACCCTCATATTTTTACAGCTTCAAGCTGGCTCTCAAGGAACTCAAGGTTCAGAGGGTGGCAGACGCTGTGGCATGGCTGAGAGGCAGTGCCAGGTTCTGACAGCTGCCCTCTCCTCCTCCCTGGTACTACCATTAATTGCACATCAGCCCAGGACCAGGTTCTATGTTAGGTACTTTTCAAATGTGATCCTGATCGAGCAAGTCTGACTCACCAAGCCATTTGCTTGAGCTTTGGGCTTGTGGCCGGCAGGGTCTAGGTGATTGCCATTCCAGTGGTCCCTCCACATGCCGTGGGCTGACTTCACCATGGTCCTGGAGGTTGGGGTGAGGCTGGGGAGGGATTATGGGGCCCATTTCACGGACCAGAAGCCTGAGACACAGTAGTAAATCCCTGGTTCCTGCTTGACACTCACTAGCAATGGGCAATGTATTATGGGGATTAATGGAGGTGGCTAGTATACAGCCTGGCCTAAGTGCCTGGCAAACAGGTACTAAGAATTAGTGGGTGGCAGAGAGGCAGCCAGAGCCAGGGTCTTCCTCAGGTGGCTCCTTTGAGCTGCAAACTTGGACTTTAGAACCCAGGCTTAGCGGAAAAGGCTTCAGCAAGGAAAATACACGTTGGAAAACTATGGAGAAGTGTATTCTTGTCTCCCAGCAGGTGGAGAATACAAAGCAGCCCAGGGAGAACGAGGCACCCACGGGAGCCCCAGGTGGGCCAGCGGCAGGGCTAGAGCTGTGCCCCGAGGTTGTGGAATTGCAATAGGCTCTTTTTTTGGGGCAACGTGCTTGGCAGCCATCCGCACTCACGTTCTGACCCCGACTCAGCTGCAAAATGCGAGGTGTCTTTGCGATGGCGGACTTGCCTCTCTGAGCACTAGGTTCCTCTGTGTGCACGCAGCAGCCCCACCTCCATGGCCTGTCGTACCAGCTGAAATAGACACGCAGAGTACACTCACAGGCTCCAGTTGGGTCTGCGCCCAGGGTCTCTCTGTCTCCTCCGAGACCAGGTTTTTGGGCCTGCCCCACCAGGGCTGGAGGGAGGGAGGTGGATTGGGTCTTCACTCTGCCTCCCTCCCCATCCCCCCCCCCCGTGGCAGGTGATCGTCTGGGGCGACTACGGCCGCATGGACCACAAGTGCTTCATGGGCATGGCCCAGATCATGCTGGATGAGCTGGACCTGAGTGCTGCGGTCACCGGCTGGTACAAACTCTTCCCCACCTCCTCGGTGGCAGACTCCACACTTGGCTCCCTCACCCGGCGCCTGTCCCAGTCCTCCCTAGAGAGTGCCACCAGCCCCTCATGCTCTTAAGGACCTCAGGAAAGGAGGCCGGGATGGCAGTGGGGGAAGGGTGGTGTCAACTGGCCCTGCCTCCCCCCCTGTGCATAACCTTCATATCTCTCTGGACCCTTGCCCTGCTGCATGCCTCTTGGCTCCTGGGCTCGCCCCAGCTGGCAGTGGACACTGTGGTGTGTATGTGTGTGTGTCTGTGTGTATGTGTGTGTCTGTGTGTATGTGACTTTTTTGTTGTTCTTTGATCTGGGTACACAGTCTGTCCAGGTGAGTACCCAGTCTGAAATTCTTGTCTCTTTGTATCTTGTCTCAAAGAAACCCAAAAGAGTGTTGTAAGGACATGTCACCCTGAAGCACCTGCTGGGGTCAAGTGGGGGAACGCTGCTCCTGGTTGAACCTACCTGGGCGCGTGCCTGCCGCTTCCTCTCGATTTTCTGACTTGTCTGTTGTCCTACCTGTTGCCTCTCCCAGCACTGCTGCTCTTTCTTGAGGAATGTAGCACCCACTGCAGCTGGCTATCCCAAGACCCTATGGGCTCCTCTTTACCTGCCGCCCCCCTGCCCACCGGCCGCTTGGCAGCTCTCCCCTCTCTCCTGAAAGCGTCATGCACATACGGCATGCCCTTCCTGCACCCTGGCCAGGACTGGGCTCTCCCCAAGGCAGAACCAGTGCCTGCTCCAAGCAGAGCACACCGAGTCTTGGTTCCCAGTGTTGCCGGCCAGATCCTCCGAGGGAGGGACCAGGGGGCTTCCCTGGGCATTTGCTCTTCCCCACCCCCTCCCTGCCAGCATTGCCAAAGCAGTTCTACAGTGGGCTCAGGAGATGGCCCCCATCTGGGCTGTTACCTGTGACCTCCACCATGGGCAGCCTTCTGTTGGTTACACCTGCCTGAAAGTGCTGGGCATGGAGCTGTTTGCTGGAGGAAGGAGGGCAGTGTGGCCAGTTCTCCTCAACCTCCCAGCACTCGCTGCATGAACATGATCATTTAGGGGCCCTATTTTCTGCTTGTTTCCAGACCAGGGTCCCTGTAGGGGTGGAGGGGCCCAGACTTGATGAGACGCCAACTCCTTGCTCCACAGGCAGCCTGGCTCTGGGCTCGCGTCACCAGCTCTGCACAGCAATACTTCCTGCTCCCAGCCCCCTGCCTTTTTGCTGCAGCATGGCCTGATCCAGGCCCTCCCCACCTCTGCGTTCTCCCACGGACACTTCTCCCAGCCACTTGGAACCCCCAACGTGAAGCCCTGTTGGTGGGGGGCCCAGTGCCTAGACTGGATCCTGTGAGCAGTGTGCTGGGACTCCTGCAATGTGGCTCAGGAGTGCCCTCTCCCCACCCCCCCACCTCGGCTCTAGGGTAAAGGGTGAAGGGTGAAAGGTTCCCCCAGAGATGGGTGGCAAAGAGGAGAGAGGTCAGGGAGAGGTGGGCTGCGGGGAAGACTTTTGGCCTCCTTCGCAGATGCCACCACCAAGTGCCCGAAGCAGGGACAGCCACCTGGACAGCAGGGGTGATGTCCTGGGCCTCGTTGTTTGCACTCCTTGTGGAAGTGAACCTTGAACTTGTGGAGGTGAACATGGTAGGGGTAGCTCCGGGAAGTTCAGCTCTGCAGTCCAGAGGGGCCTCATTTTCTACATCTGCAGTGGGGATGGGAGGCCGGGGCCAGGACGAGCTCCCTCTCAAAGCAGTAACCTGTCACTTGGACCATGTATGTGTTCCTGGTGTTCCTGGAAATGGGGCAGAGGGTTCTGCGTACTTTATCCTTAGTGGGGAAACAGGAAGGACTTTTCAAAAGGGCATGTTTAGTCCCAGATGCTGATGGACGTGGCTACCCTCAGGATGCTGTGCGTTTGATTCCTTTGGAGTGGTGGGATTAGTAGTGATAACAGGAAAGTGCAAATGATGCCCCTGAACTTGGGGATGCCGGTCCCCTGCTTCCTGTGGGGGTCCAGGAAGGTGATGGGAGAAGGTGGGGAATGACTGGACGAGGTAGGCAGTTCCTGGCCTCCTGGGGGAGTTTTGGCCAGAAGAAGGCCGTGGACTGTTGGCCTGTTAACCCAGCTACCCAAAATGCCCAAAGTTGGGCAGGTCCCTGTAAGATCACTTCTTCCTGATTGACCTGGGGGGAATGACTTGTCTTTAACTTGGGTTTCCCCTGAGAGGGAAGTTGTTTGGGGCTGCTGTGAATGTGCTCTGGGGACTGGCTGCAGCTCAGGTGTGTGTCTCAATATCTTAGATGCAGGGTGTTATCCTGTCCCAGAAGAGGAGCAGGCACACATGTGATTCCTGACCTTCCGCAGGTCAGGGTGGGGTGGAGGCAGAGGGAAGCTGCCCTTTGAGAAAGGGCTGGGGGGACCATCCTCCAGGGTTCTCCCTACCCTGGGGCATCTCACTGCAAGTGCAGTGTCCTGGAAATGCCTCTCCATCCTGGATGAACCCAGGCAGCAGTGCCTGAGGGGACTCTTTGGCATCCTCTTCTCTGGCCAGGCAGGAGCCACTAGGGGCTGGGACAGAGATGACAAGGGACTCAGGTATCTGCTTTGTTATTCTGCACTGCTTGGCCTACACCACCTGGGTTGCAGACTTTTTCGCTGCGGGGAAGTGGCTGTGGGCCTTTGGTGGAAAGCAGGCTCCAGCAGATGGGGGCAAGCCCTGGTCTAATCAGGGCATGGATCCTTCAGGGAAGCGCCATCTCCAGAAAGACTCCCCAGGCACTCTCTTCCACTGTCCAGGGAGGCTCTTGAGACCCAGCAAATCCCAGCCCCAAAGCCAGCAGCATCCACGGGGCCATAGCAGAACCCAGGAGAGCTCCCCCACTCACTGGATTTCGAGGCACCTGCTGCCAGGTGGAGGCTGAGGTCCAGCCAGCAGTCCTGCTGCCCAGCAGCCCTCCAGTGGAAGCATCCAGAACTCTCCTCCACTGCCAGCCCTGAGGAGAGCAGAAGCCTCTGTTTTTTGTTTTTTGTTGTTTTTTTTTTTTTAAAGACACTAGAGTCCTCTACAGGCACTTCTTTGGAAATGAAATGTAGCACAACCTCAGACTGCGTTACCAGGAGCCCTGACACATGCCTGGGGGGCCTTACTCCATGCCCTGTTGCCAGGAGATGCTAAGCCCTCCTCCCCTGGGCTCCAGAGCTCCTGATACCTCATACTCCCCAGCGTCCCGGGCCCAGAAGGCAGCAAGGCTGCAAGGTTTGGCTGCTCTTCTGTGTGTCTCCGATTGCTCCCACACTGTGCAAACCCTGTGCAAGAAACTGCTGCCTTTGTCGATGTGTTTGACGGGCTGCTGTCCGCCCAGGTGGGGGAAACAGGGCAGGAGGAGTGGGACATGCCCATGTTCAGGGCCCAGAGGTTGGCTGGCAGATTTCTATGGTTGGCTGCAGGGAGCTGGGAAAGAAAAGGCCTGCTCCCTGTCTCCTCCCGCCTGGCTCTCCCCTCCTCCAGGTCTTCCTCTTCGATGTCCTGATGTACATAGAGGTTCCTTAACATGCTGCTTCCTCTACTGAATTGTCTTTCACTGAGTGATCGGGAGGGAGATGCAAATGGAGACTCGGCCCCCCTCCACCACTCCCCACCGTATGTTTTCTCCTTCCAGTGTGTTGCTTGCAAAGCAATCCAGATTGGAGAACGGGGTGGGGGAGTACCCCGCCCCACAATCAGGCATGGCCTGATGGGGGCTGGCTTGACCTGGTCGGCCTGGGAAAGGGTTATTTTGAAAGAGTGCCTGAGCATCTCAGCACAACGTCAGTGATGCCAAAGAGAGAAACTCGGGCTCCCTGCACCGGCTCTGCCAGCTGCGCTGCATGTGAGTGGCTTGCGCGTTGGCATGGCCAGTGGCAGAGCCTGGTTCTCTGACAAAGGGCTTAATCTTTCCATGTAGCAAAGCACCTCCCTACACCCCAACCCTGAGCTTGGGCTCCTCCAGGCCCAGCAGCTGTGCCTGTGAGGGAAGCTGTATCAGTGAGAGAAGCTTGTATTCTTTTGGGCACCTGGACTGGTTTGAGGTGGAGGTCACAGCTCTGGGTTAAACCTTCTTGGGCTCTGGCTGGGAACTTAACCAGAAAAAAACAGGGCCTTGGGCTTCCCCTGATTTCACATCAATGCTAGAAAGGGTCCCTGGGACCGGGTTCCAGACAGCTTGGCTCACAGAAATGGGGCCCAAGAATTTCGGGGGCAACAGAGCCTCTGTCCCGTGAACTGACAGACCCTGATGGCTGTCTATAGGGACTCCTGGGACTGTGTATGTGCAAGTCTCCCCCACTTAGCTGGGCCTCGGCTTCCCCATTCTCACAGCCAGATCATTAGCTCATTGCTCCCTGGAGTCTTTGCCGTGAGGCTGCCAAGGCTGTGAGCCTGGTGTAGCCAGCACCTGGCTCCAGGGGCACCCCACCCCAGTGTCCCAGCGGGGCACAGGTCCTCAACTGCTCCTGCCCAGCTGCTGCCGCCGATGAGAACTCTGGGAACCCTAAACAGACTCAGCTTTCACCTCTTTGTGATTAGTTCACCTCCTTTATTCTTGTGTTGTGATGAGAAGCAATCAAGGGATGTGTACAGCGGACAATTTCCCAGGTGCTGATGTGATGTCACACCTCAGCTGCATCCCGAGTGTGTGGTCCTACCTGGAAAATCTCAATGCTCCAATGGGCAGGCTGAAGATGGTAGGTGAGAGAGAGAGCTCAGGCCCCAGCCAAGTACTTTGCTAGTCAAAACCATGCATTTGTCCAGTGCTGTCTCTCTTGGAAGGGGAGTGGCTGTTGCATAGGACAAGTGGGCCCGCTGCTTCTGTCCACTCCTTAGTGTAGCTGCCCATAGGAGGCAGGAGCTGCTTCTTAGCATTCTCCAGCACATCCTGGGAGGGACGGTTAAGCACACTGTTGAGACACGAAGCGACTAGCTTTTTCTATCTGCTTTCTGCATTTTCTACACACAGCATCTTTGTGCGGGTCCTGGGCGGCAGGTGCACAGCTGGGAGGGCCTGCCAGCTGTTTTGTACACTGTTCTTGCCAATTCCCTTGAGGAGAAAACTCTTCACATGGCTTTTGCATGTACAGTATTTGGGCAGCAAAAAAAAAAAAAAAAATTAAAGTCAGTTTGAAAATGATCCCATGTGGTTCCTTCTCTACAGAGGGTTCTTAGGCCGGGAAAGAGAACACAGGTGACCCAAAGGAGAAGGGTTTGGCTGAGAGGCAATGGGAAAAAAGGCAAAACATGGTTCTGGCATTGTGGCATGGTGGGTAAAGTTGCTGCCCGTGG